AGGGAGAAATATATTCTCGTAAGATAGATGGCCTTGTTATGGACATAGGTGCAATGCAAAAGGGAAAAGGGGTTTCATTTATTTGTGAATCACAGAATCTATAATAAAAAGAATATACGGTATATGAATAAATGGACAAGGATACAAATTTTTCTTCTATTGTTACTGATGTACTGTGGTTAGATTTTGATATGATTTTATGTCTTATTTTAGTTTCATATACGTAATATCTGATGAAGACTTACAAATGTAATTATTATCGGATACTAAACCAATACTAACAAAGGTGGTAGTAATCACGGACAAGAAAATTGCAATACAGTATGTTTCACCTTAAGGATCATGTACAAACTTGTTACTTTGCGTGTCTGAACAAATTTTGTTGACCCACATCTGATCAGAATTCCTGATGATTTTTATCAGTATTTAAGTGTGTCTCTTGTGTATCATAGTGTTTTAAAGACACAATTTAATTTATGCATATTGTACAAACTGTCTGTATTATACATTTCTGTAAAATGCTGATCTAGTGTACAGGTAGATAAAACTAAATTATGTTTAATTGAAAAATTCTGTGGAATAGACATTTTTATATGGGGGATTTTTTTTTTAAATCAAGCTATGGATTTTAATGACTTGATGTTTGATTTAATTTTTTAAGTGATTTTATATTAAATGAACAAAATTTTTTAACAGTAGTTGGGCATTGTTTTAATGATGCTAGTAAAGATAATGGTCCATAAATTCTCTGTTGGTAAGATTTCTTAATCATTGACCAGAAATATAGTTGTATGCTGTTACAATAGATATGAATGTTAACTTTGTGCGATACTTATAAATATCCATGGTTATAACTTTGTACATGTATTAAAATTGCTGAAGCTGTTTTTTTATGTTATTCTTTAACATTTAACAGCCCTGAGGATATTTTTAGCTCCCCAGAACATTAGACTTTATACTGACAACGTTTGAGTTTAGTTTGCAAGGCATGAAGGTAATCTAGATCATTATTAATTCTCTGTCTGATGTGTGTAATTCCTATTTCAAGTCGGGCCCTTGGAGATGAGTACCATTAATGATGTGATTTGTTAAGTTTTTCATGTACAGTGTAATTCTTTGACAATTGCATGTTTTCTCATGCATTACATGGACTACCTTCTTCTAACACACTAGTTATCTTTAATTTCTTTTTTAAACTTTTTAAAATTGAAAAATTATAACAAGAATTTTTCTTTTTTTTTCCTGTTTTCTTTTCTCTTTTTTTTTTTTGAAGAAACTTTGAAATATGACGTACTTTGGTTGGCAAATAAAGTGATTTTCTATAGAATCATTTTTATGGGGACTAATTTTTGTGGATTTCATGGGTATCCCTTACCCTCAAATTTATAGCCATGAGAAATATAGGTGATGTCTTTTATAATCCGACATTTGCCCATGAAATGATGTCCCCACAAGACTATAAAATAGTTGTAGTCCATGAAAACAGGCCATCATGAAAAGATTTTGTGATTATTATGGTTTTAGAAGATTACTTATGTCAGGTGACCTACAGTGTATTGCTATGGTTTAAGAACATCGTTTCTAAAATTTTGAACTTTCTGGTTTCTCCAAAATGGTTTTCAGAACGAACCAATTTTGGCAGCATCTATGAATGAAGCCAATTGTGAACAAAATTAAAAATTAGCATGCAAAATGTATCTATGATGACTATAAGCTTTGAGCCTTTACCAGTTTGTGTCCCTAGGGTGGGGCTAAGGTGATCATAAATTTAAAATGCTTTTTATCTTAAAAAAAAAATCTTCCTTACTTTTAGAGCATCTTGAAGACTAAAGTTTATGCAGTATGATAATGAACAAAGAGCCCTCTTTCAAATTGTAAAATGCATGTTACATGGGTTAAATTAGGCAGGGATGAGTTGAACATAACCTGAAAAACTTTTGATAATCAGATGATGGTTAAGACCCATGGGCCTCTTGTATATGTTGGAACAGAAATTGGCCCTTACTGTCCATAATACTTGGCATATATGCATCCAAAGCTGAGCTGACTTGATAAATTTTATGTACGAAATTTCACAAAAATGTGTGCATTTGATAAGTTTGCAAACAGCTCCTTTTGTGAACATGACAGTGTGTCAAATTGGGATCAACTGGTGAAGCATTCTCTTGCTTGAATGAAGAGATAGGAATCCAATATTTTGCACATTTATTACTTGCAAAAGTGGATTTTATGAAAAACTAGTACATGTACCTAGAACTTACTATGAGTAATCTGTGAGTCAATTTTGACAGATCTGTTATGTTAGTATGTCTATAATATAGGTATTGAAATCCTGGAAGGTTTCAGTGGATCTCCATTTAAAAAGGTTGGGCTTTTGTTAAAAAGAATATATAAAATTAATTATAAACTAGAGTGTTCCAAAGAATGCATGTGTCGCCTGCTTTGTAACTTCATTAAAGATGTAAATAAATCTGAGAGTGGTCAGCTATTATAATACATGCATTTGCCTGCAAAGAAAAAAAAAGCATCTGTGAATAGTATGACTGTGATAGAATCTAACAAAGAAAGTATGGTTCCCAACCCTCAAATTAATTTTCAGAAATAATTATTTATCATTTTTATTAATACGTGTTTCCAACAATCCCCCAAAAGAGATTTCAGTCTGACTTTTCTGCAATTGTCGGTCTACACGATCCCTTGTGGAATACCAATCCCTATGTACTTTCATACTATCTAAATATAAGTTTGTTGATAACTGAATATCATACAGTATCATGAGCTCATAAACAGGTATAAATGCTAATTATCAAATCCATGCCTCTCAAAAATTCAAAAGGCATTAATTATATTAAACTGTCAGGGGTACTTTTTGCAAAGTAGGTCAAAGTCAAGTGGATTGTAACGCTGGTATTTTTCATAATGTTTTATGACAAACAGTGCACATGCTAAATAGCATAGACTTACCTCTTAAATGTCAAAAATATGCTGTATATTGGCACTATGAACTGAAAAGTAGGTCAAAGGACAAGGGTCACAAGGTCAGTAACCATGGTAATTTACAAAAGCCATAGTACCAAGCAATATATGTGCAAAATATCAAATCCTGACCATTACTTTTACAGTTCTCGAGATATAAGGTGTGACAGTCAGACACCTGGTAAAGCGATCCCCAAGTGTTGCTCTGCTCTTCAGGTGACACAATAAAGTATCACATTTATAGGTGGGGTCTTATTTCATTTATGAACATCAGACTGTTTATAGATTGCTTTCAAGCTTCACTCAATGCCATAAGAATCTTCGAAAATTTTTAAAGAACTGATTGGCTAAAATTACACCTTATATTGTATAAATTTAAGCATATGTGTTTTTCTTAATCCCCCCTCCTCCCCAAGGGTGGGGCAAAGGGAGGATCTAAAATTTAACATTGCAGTGGTAAATCTTCTAAAGAACAGCAGTTAGTCCTATTGATATGTAAACGTCCACATGTAGTATTCATTCAAATCTGATCAAATAATGAAATCCAGGGGGAGGGTGTGAACACATTGGTGGGCCAAAGTTTGACAAAGGAATATACAAAGAATCTTTAAAAGAAACAACAAGGCAAAACTTTGTTGCACTGATTTACAACCATCCTTGTATAATGTCATAATCCCTGGGAGAATGGAAGGGCCACAATAGGGTTTCAAGGGTTTACATGGGAATTCTTTAGAAATCTCGAGAGTGAGCATTAAGGCCCATAGGCCTCTGGACTCTATTTCTGACTTTCCATATTTTTCTAAATTATTAGTTTGATCCCATATTTCCATATGACAAAAGTATCATTTACATCTTCAATGATCTTGAAATTGTCCAGAAGTTGCAATGCAGCATACAAACCACTAAACGTCCACAGGCGTCCAGTCTGTAGCTTATATTGTAATTGTTGCTTTTTCTGGTGACACAAGCTACTGTAAATGTCTTATATTTGGCTGTGTATTCTATTTAGCATGTTTCGTGGAGAGCAGTTACCACTAAATCAAGTACATTGCTAAATGTCTTGCGTATAAATATATATTTTTATATACATGTAGCACACTCGGAAAGAACTATTATTACATTAACTTGTTAAAAAAACAAGAGATGTTTGTGAAGCTCTTATACTTATGCCCCCCCCCCCCCCCCTTAGACAAACATTATAGGGTTTGCTTGATTGTACCCAAAACAGAACTTGACCTAGATATTCTTATGATAAATCTGTATACCTAATTTCATCTCAGTATGTGCAACCTCTGCAAGAAAAAAAATGAACGTAACCTGCAAATAATTGGAATATTTCTAAGTCCAAGAGGCATAACTCTGTCAAAAATTGCTCGATCGTATACCAAAAATAGAATTTGACCTAGATATTCTTATAATAAATCTGAATACCAAATTTCATTTCAGTATGTGCAACCTCTACAAAGAAAACGAACGGAAACTGCAAATATTGGAATTTTTTTTAAGTCCAAGGGGCATAAATCTGTCAAACATTGCTCGAACATACCCAAAACAAAACTTGACCTAGATATTCTTATGATAAATCTGTATACCAAATTTCATTCCAGTATGTGCAACCTCTGGGAAGAAAATGAACAGAAAGTGTTGGTGGACCTACAGACAGATCGACTAACAGACACCAGCAAAGCAATATGCCCTTCCTTCTTTGAAGGGGGGCATAATAAATTTCCATGAAATATCATACACACTAATTACAATACAGTCAAACCTCATTAAATCGAACTCGATGGGACCAAGTAAAAACTTCAAATGAGGATTTGAGGGTAAATTACTTAAAGAAAAAATGGTTGGAATTTTTAAATCACTTCAACATATCCATGGTATTCGAGACATCAGTGTTCAAGATACCAAAGTTCAAGTCTGTACATAGAATGTGTTTCTTGGAACATGAAACTTCACAAGAAATCACTTAGCTCACTTTAATGGATAATAAGAATTCTTTAAAAATATAAAAAAAAAAAAAATAATTTGTCAAAGCTTTATTTAGAAAGCAATACAATATAAACACCTCTAAACACTTAATGCATTAACAATGGCAGTGCATTCAAACTTTCCACTCTGTACTTTTACATTAAGTTCCATATAACATCAAATTGTCCATTTGATTAAAGCTGCAAGAATGATCACAAATCTGAAAAGCTTGAAAATGCAATAAATATGCTATGTACAACAAAATATATTTAAATTTTCAAATATAATTCAAATGAGAGTATCATACATGTAATGGAAGATAACCTGAAAGACAAGTGCACATTACCTAGTTTCAGTAAAACTACATGTACCACTTTCCTTCAATTTTTCTCATCACCTTTAGGTCTACATTTATAGATGACAGTTGCAAAGGGTACCAATATATCCTTTCTTACATTGGAAAAATGGCACAAGCTTTAAACAAATTGTAAAATAAGTCATTTAAAATTTGTGTCTTTAATATGTAGTTGTGGCATCTTATTTAATATACAGAAATTATACAATGTATATGCCAAGCACGGAAATTACAGTTAACAGCTGAACAGGAACATAATAAAAAGAACAAAGAAAGAAATATATACAGTTGACCAGTGATACCTGGAACATCATAAAAGAACTGCAGTAATATTCTGCAAATCCTTAATAAAACATAGTCAGTGATAATGCATATTTATATATACATGTAAATATCACTTATAGTGGTAATATCATTCTTAATCACAGACTAGCATTGACAGTGATGAGGGATTAAATGGGGAACATTTCTTTAGGAGCATAACAACTAGAAGCCATGCAAAACAAAGATCAGAGTATTAATGATGCATAATAAATACAGTAGCAGTAAATGAGCTGAACACTAAATATAACTGACATGTAATCCCTCATCTTCCTGCTGACAAGGAATTTGTTTTTAATTGTAATATTTGAATAACACGAGATCATGTGGAGATAATCCAGACAAAATACCTCAGGATGACAATTCACGGGACTATCTTGCATAAAGATAATTAGAGTTCAATTCATTGGATTATCTTGTACAAAGATATCAAAGTCCACATCACAGGATTATCTTTCAGGAGATAATTAAAGTCCACTTCATGGGATTATCTTGTACAGAGATGATTAAAATCCATATCGTGGGATTAGCTAATAGATATAAATTGTTGTATACTTTAATTCACAGGATCAGATCATGTGTAGATAATGATGGAATGGGTGTGTGATTTACAGAGTTATCTGCCACTGCCTGTAGGATGGCTGGCTTTGCCTCCAGTGCATTTTTTTCATTAGAATCTGCTTTCCATGCTAAGTATGTGTCCCATCCAAGGGCTACCGTATTGTTGAGCAAAACCCTGTGTGAAAATAATTCAATACAAAAGATTTAACTTCTGAATTAAAACTAAAACAATTTCATTTAAAATATAAAAACAGAATATAGTCCACCACATCCGATAAATAAATCTGAAATGTGTTCATACCTGTGGCTCACGGGGACTAACAGGAAGTTTAAAAATTGCACACCTGGCCAAAGCTGAAAAGACATCTTCTATTGATCAATCATGCCTTGATGAAATCAAATCTTAAATATGTTTTTTATTTGTAATCAGTGTTCTGAAAATGGTTACTTACCGACCAACAACTAGTGAGTATATCAAAATAATCCTGAAATAAAAAGCAGAATGGAATTCACAGTCAGTAATTGTTAAAACACATACAGATTCTCTGAGCACTGATACAATTTAATTGAAGTAGCTTTAAGTTGCTCACATTTTTAATTTTCAGCTTCACCATGGACAGAGAGTCTCCCTTCATTATTCCCATGACACCCAAGAAAAATGGAGGAAAGGCTGGAGCAAAAACTATCTGAAAATATAGATTATTATTTAATTTTTATCTTTTAAGCATTTCTTCAAAGTTTCATTGAAAAGGTCATGGAGTTTTCAGTCTAGTGGAGGAAATTGCCTTTATAACTGATTGCTGAGGTGAAAAGAAACTTTTCTGCATAAATACTAGATGCTCGCCAAGCTAAAGCTCAATGCTATTATAAAAACAGTTCTGTCAAAGGTAATACATGTACATGTATTGAAAACACATGTTTGTCCTTAAAACTCTTATGTCTACTTACCATAAAAGCCAAATAAGATTAGTGAATACAAACAAACACATAGTATTACTACCTGATCTATGATCACCATTTTAAATGGGGCAAATCTTGAACTGCCAAATGCCTTTTGCAGCCTTAAGTACCATCCATGAAAAAGTGGTCCCTAAAATTTATAATGATACAAGCAGATGTAAAAAAAAAACTTCTGTTAAATTGCTTATACACATATCATTCTGTGACAGTTAATGGCATTAAATATCAGATTCACTTACAGCAATAAGTAATCCAAAAGCCCAGTATCGCATGTATCTTTTACAATCCAATTTATTTTTTCTCTCAACAAACTTCTGGGAAATGGCATCTCCAGTTGACATAACAAAACCTACAAATCAGTTACTAGGAGAGTTATGGATATGTGTGGAATTTGTATTTAAAAACAAGATGTGATTGTGAAACACTGATGCCCCTGTATGGCAGCTTATGGCGAAGGTTAAAGTTTCTCAAATGTAAGTCAAACTCGAAGGTCAAGAGATCAAAAATGTTGTTACCCAAAGAAAGGACTTGTGTCAATGGATATACCTAGTAAATATGAAAGCCAAAGCACCAACCATTCAAAAGATAGTCTCAGGGTTAATGTTTTCTGAAAGTGGGTCAAACTCCAAGGTCAAGATCAAAAGGTCCAAAGTAATGGTACACAGGGGAAGACCTTGTCATGAAAAATACTCATGCAAAACACAAAAGCCCTAGCACCAACTGTTCAAAAGTTATGGCATAGCTGAAAGTTTTTCAAAAGTAGATCAAACTCCATGGTCAAGGCCAAAAGGTCAAAATTGTTGATATCTGAAGGAAGGTCTTGTCACAAGGAATACAACTGTGAAATTTGAAAGCACTAGTACTAACTGTTCAAAAGTTATGGCCAAGGTTAAAGTTTTTTTTAAAAACTGGGTCAAGCTCTAAGGTCAAGGTCAAAAATATTTATACCCATGGAAAGGCCTTGTCATGATGAATACACATGTGAAATATGAAAGCCCTAGCACCAACTGTTCAAACGTTATGGCCAAGATTAAAGTTTTCTTAAAAGTAGGTCAAACTCTAAGGTCAAGGTCAAAAGGTCAAAATATTTATACTCTTGGAGAGGTCTTTTCAGGATAAATACACATGTGAGATAAGAAAGCCCTAGCAACAACTGTTCAAAAGTTATGGCAAATGCTAAAGTTGAGTAAATTTTTGCAAAAGTGGGTCAAACACCAAGGTCAAGAGGTCAAAGATCTTGGTACCCTAGGGGAGGTCTCGTCACAAGGAATACACATGTGAAATATGAAAGCCATAGCTCCAACCACTCGAAAGTTATGTGCAAGGTTTATGTTATTGCGTACAATAAAACAGAAAGAGGGACGGACAGGGCAAAAACTATATACCCCCAAATCTTCGATTACAGGGGCATAAAAAATAACTCAAACACTGGGACTTCAAGTGGTATTATTTTTATATTAATTAATGCCACATACACAGTTAAATCATGAATTACCAGGTTCAGCTGACAAATTTCATCTAAAACAAGCACAAGGAAGGTTCAATATTAATGGGATATTTTTAATATTACAGATATTTCTTTATGATTGCTGTTTTTCTGAATTTTTATTTTTTGAATTTGATAGAACGTCAGAACTAATTTCTTTACAATGGAAAACATCCCTCATGCACCATCAATGCAAGCTTGGGCAAAAACTCATATAGTGATTATTTCATTTTATACAGGTCTGGCACAATCTCTTGATTTAGCTATACAGCTTGAATTAGCTATATAGCTTGAATTAGCTACTTGAATTAGCTATATAGCTTTATCAAGCTATTAAGAACAACTTCATTTAGCTATTTTACCACACTTTTTTCATAAGTGTGTTAATTTTTCAGCATGTACAAAAAGTTGCACTTTGGTGCAGTGATAATATTCAACCAGGCAGGTGCGTATTTGCAGGAATATGCATTGAATTTTACAAAATATACATTGAAAATTATAACTGGGTGTACAGTTACGCATTAGCAATCGTAGATAAGCATTACACCATGAAAGTACTGTGTACAACTGGTTGAATAATACAAGTACGACTTATGATATGAATTGAGGTTAACTCAGCGTTTGATTTTTTTTTCAAAACGAAATACTGATTTAAGAATTGTTTTGATAAACAGGAATATTCTAGTAATTGCGACGACGATTTCCATTTCGGGAGAAAGAATCAAAGATATAGATTAAAATCGATTTCTTTAAATAGAAAGACTATGCACTAGGCATAGTTACATGTACTTTTAAGCACACAAAAGCTTGTGTCGTCTTTGTAAGATGATATTGTAACGAGTGTAATACATAAGTAAATGAAAACAATGCTACCTAGAAAACAAACGATAGTTGGAGGAAAAAAAATCTTAGCTGGAGAAAAAAAGTTTATACTGCAATGTTATCAAAGAGGACATGATGTGGTAAAAAAAAAAAAACAGTGAAGACCATATTAAAACCATACCGAAAAAACCAGCTCTGTTTAATTCCAAGATCAACTGAACACTTTTAAATAAATAAATTGCTGTAGAGAGACATTACGCATATGGCCTAATATGTATTTGAATTTACCGATCAAGTGTTCTCTTAGATTTCCTAAAGTTCTCTGTTTAGTAGGACAGTTACAAGCGGTTTGTACATGACGTTTTTTTGTTTGTTTGTTTTTTTATGATATTGGGTTCATTGCCAATTTCTGATTTCTCTCAACTTGCCATATTAATGAAGCTTCTTTTTTTTTTCTCTCGGTTTACTCTTGTTATGATATTGTCTTATAAATGAAGGAAAAGTTTTATGTGCCCATGGTAACTTTACCTACTGTATGATCTTCCTTGTCAAAAAAGAATGTTTCTCAGTTTTAGCAAAAAATCTTGTTGGTATTTTCAAAATTTATTTAAATAAATACAGGAACTGTCCTTTGTAGTTTTATCCCTTTCCTCTTCTAAAACACTTATATCTCAATAACAAGCTCAAAATCAAAATAGATGTCAAAACATTTATATATTAACAAAATAATCTTAAATCATTTTGCTGAAAATCAAAATCTGCATTGATTTGAAAATCAGAGTAAATACACTTTGGGGTAAAAATTTATCTGGAGCTCTGAGAACCTTGAATTCTTCTGAAAACAAGGCATGTTAAAATTGCTCGTAAAATTACATCTCCTTTAAAGACTTTGTACTCAAAGTTCTAAAAGTTTGGGGGCTATATAAAGCAACTGATTTGTGACCTCAAAGTTACTTCTTGAATGAAATTATAAAGGAGGTCAATTCTGGTCAACAAGGTACGTAATTGTAATTCAGCACAGTGTGAAGCAATCATACTAATATCCACACATCTGTAGGAATTTAGGCTGGACTGTGGACATCGGCCTGGATAGCTCAGTGGTTAGAGCACCTGACTAGAAATGCAGGGGTCCCGGGTTCGATTCCCGGTCCAGCCATATGTTTTTCATTATATATAAATTTATGAATTTTCAATGTATATTAACTCATTCCTCCTTTCCATACTACACATCAATGCAAACAAGCCTGTACCAAGATGGTGTACAGTTATCCAAACAATGGAAATACTTGTTTTGTTTCAAAAGCTGCTATGTTATATCTATCTTTCATTTGGGTTGCTTTTAATTTTAGATAGTGCATAGTACATATATGAATAGGTAAATACTTGCGACTTTTTGTCTTTTTGTTACAAAATATATTTTCTGAAAAACTACATAAAAATAGCTTTATCAAGCTATTATGAAATAGCTTAATGAAGATAAAATTTAAAGCTAATTCAAGCTGTATAGCTGAATCAAGAGGTTGTGCTGGACCTATTACAGAGCTAGAATATGGGCCATGTATCATTCATGATGTATTTAAAATTTTATCGGTTCTAATATTTAGTGCATAGAGAAAAAAAATGTCTTTATGTATAGAAAGTAAGTAATTTCTAATTTCTGAATGCATTTTTGTTATTAGGCCCTAGTTTACTTATCAAGCAGCGCTTTGTTTTGTAAACAACATGACTCACCAGTCGAAAACGCCACTGTCTTCCATGGATGTTTTCTCATCAACAAAGAATGCACCCGAATGACGGTATTCATGACAAGGTATAATCTAGTGCATTAAAGCATATTTAGCATGATGTGAGCTCTCTGTCGTCCTTCCATTTTCAGTTACGAAACTTGCTATACCTCACGTTGATGTGCAAGTGGTCTAAATATTCGTAACCGGAATTGGCACGCCTCATACTAAATCTTGAGCGCGTATGGACATGGTGGAAAAAATTAATCCGATTATCGACCACTCATGGTTTGATCAGCTCTCGCAGGATCTGCCTTCAGTGATTAAAGGAAAAAATATTAATAGATTCAGCGACAGTCCTTAAGTTTTTGTGTCGACCCAAATGTTTTGCTTTTCTTTCTTCGGCAAAACAACTATAAAAATAAATTTTAAAAAGTGATATAGAATTAGATTCTCAGTGCAGCATGTTCTTGAAGAAGAAATATAATAATTATATATTTTTTCCAAGGCCTAATGAAGGAATTTAAAAGAATAAGGATACTAGAAAAATCCAAAGAACTTTGAGAATATGTGAAATCACAAAATTTGCCAAAATCAATAGCACCCAACCGGATGACTTTCAATACTTTTTCAACACAAACATTCCTAATTTAAAGGTAATTAGAGAGCAGGCTTTTTTGACATCATAAACAAATGCTTCTTGAACAATAACAAAATGCCCAAGGGCATAGACAGTATTATATATACTCTGACGTTCTTTTGGATTAACGTATCCCGAGGCTGAAAGGCATAACAACTGATACATGTATATGGTTTGTAATTTAGAAAGTAGGTCACTATGACCTTACTTTTTTTTAATTTGATGCATCCCGAAGCCTAAGGTTGCATCATCTGATAACATTTGATGATCCTTGACTTTACGGTGTACAAGATAATTATAGTACATCTAAAACAATTTGAAAAAAAGAATAGCTGTAAAAAAAAAATGAAAAGTAGTTCACAGTGACTTACTTTTTAGTTGACATGAGAGCCCAAAATCTACTGACAAAGTCCCAAGCCTCTTAGGACATGTATTCGAAATTTTGAACTAAAATATTTTGAAATTGAAAAGCCATATAATATACAGAAAGTCGGTCACTGTGACCTACTTTTTGGTTGACACACTCTGAGGCCCCAAGATGCATCAACTGACAAGGTTTCGCAAATATCCAAAATATGCAATCAAAACTATTTGAAAATGAATGACGGCAATATCTTTTTAAAAAATCAAAAAGTAGGTCACTGTAACCTAGTTCTTATCCATTATATTTACTGCTTTACGCCAAATCGGCAGTAGTTCAGCCAGAATTTTGTGACAAAAAAAGATAAATTCAACTGTAAGGTTAACACTATAAAGAGAGAATAGTCTTGTTGTCAAAATCAGACTTATGGTCTAGTTCACGTTCATCCTGGTGAAGTCATTTAGTTTCTTAAACTACTGGGGAGGAATGACTTCAACCTGTGCAACCATAACTTTGCTTTTCCTCTGAGCATCGGTCCATCTTGGGTTATGATCAATAGCCACTACTGTGATCTTAGAGGTTGAAATGTCCCCTAACTGCTTCATTGACTTTCTTGGTCATACTGGTCGAACGGTGGTTATTGATTCTTCTGCGGAGATCTCCCATTTCCCCAACATACTGTTTTTGACAAACTTTGCAGATGATGAGATATATACAAATGTCTGTTTTATAGGCTACAATCCCTAATATTCGGCGGCTGCGGCCTGCAACGGGGCTGTTTAAACTGTCTGTGTCAGAGTTGTGCTTACAGAAAAGACATCTTCAGTCAGAATAAGTTTTATAAGCCCCCGTTAGGTAATGGTTTGTCTTATCTGGTTCTAACTACCATATCTTTTAAGTCCCTCGGGCGCCTATACACAGCCAATTGAGGTTCCTTTAAGACCCCTGCCATTCTTTTGTTGGAATAAAGATTTGGCAGGTTCATTTTAAGAACATCACAGAGGTAGTAACCGGTGTAACCCTGTTGCCATTGACTATCTCTTTGTAGAGTATAAGGTGTTGTCTGAAGATGTCGCCTTAATATCATCAACAAAAGTAACCATTCAAGTAATTAGTGGTTATTGACCATATCACCAGTAAACGATGAAGAAAACGAAGTGATCAATCTTATAAATCCAGTAAACAAAACGAATCGTGAACAGAGCAATAACAGGATGCATGGGATCAGGTGCCTAGGAGTAGTAAGTATCCACTGTCGAGCGGTCACACCCCGCCGTGAGCCCTATGTATTGATCAGGTAGACGGAGTACTCCGTAGTAAAATTAAGCATAAAAGCAATGAACTAACAAACGGTATGGAGCATGTCAGATAAAATCGACCCAACGATAGGTTGTATTTACAAAAAAGGTCATTATAATGAAGTAGAATTTGCGAAAAGTTGACTTTAAACGAGATTGTTGGAATCCTTGTGAAATCAACTTATTTTTCAGTAGATTACCTAGGTTTAAAAACTGATCAAATTCATAGCATGTTCAGTTGGGAGACAGAAACACCATGATAAGAACAGAGAAACTGATTTATTAATCTTATGTATTTTTTTTTTTAATCATAAGGAAGGGGGGGGGGGGGCTTGACCCCCTGCCCCTATTAAATCCGCCAGTGAAAATGAACAAAAGAGACAACAAAACGATAGACACATGTGAAAGACTCAGAACAAATAGATGCTAAAGAAGAATAATGAAGATAAAATGGGAAGATCGAGCGAGAAATGAAGACCTTTTACAAAGAACTAGGATAATCTTGAGCGATTAGTGAGGAAGAAATCAGAGAAAGATGGAAGTTTATTGGACAATTACCGAGACGAGATCCTTCGTACCAGTAAGACTGTAACATTGCGCTAACATGGGCAGCAGGAGGAAGAAAGCGTGGACGACCAAAACATAGCACCGCACATTAGACAGGTAGAAGACAGATGCTGGATGGCAATATTGTTGAATGCAGCAAGAACAGCTAGCAGCCGCCAATAGAAATAAGTGGAGACGCTTTGAGTGTCAAAGGACGAGAAGGATAGGTAAAGGCTACAGCATTAATAGGGAATTTGTCCTGTCGAACAGACAATTGCATATTTATATCTGATCAGCTGCAAGTTTTGTGAAAAAAAAAAGTATGTTGGGGGAAACGGGAGATTTAGTAATCACCGTTTGACCATGGATTCGGATGTGGAAAAACTCACAAGGAATTTTAAGCATAAAACATTTACCGTTATCATAGTCATTCCCCATCAAAATATACTTCATTACATATGTATAGCAGATATATTTTTATTTACCAATTTAATCAGATTTGAAGTGCTGCTGATTGTGATAAGCGTTTTAGAATTTGATCTGAGGTGAACATCGCACTTTTTCCTGAAAAATATTTTGTGTACCAAATGTAATGAAGATACCCTTTTTCATATACACCTGTACATGTACTAGAATTTTATACTGAAGATAGGCAATAAAAATTGTCGGAAACACTGGTGAATTTAGAAGGGGGGGGGGTTACCTCCTTTTGTTACCAAAAATATACATAAGATTAATAAATCAATTTCTTTTGTATGGCATATTGCATGGTTTATACTTAAAATATAGCTAAAATTAGAAGAAGAAAAAATGTTGCAAAAAACTCATAAAACCTGAAAGCTTCGCTCCCCCCCCCCTCTTTTCAAGAATCCTGGATCCGCACTGAACAAGTTATTTCTATGTCTCAGTGGTTGGGATGCAATTATTTATGGCATATTGTAACTGTCTCGAGTGTCCTGTCTTGTCTCTCCATCATACAAAAAAGATAATTAAAGTTATGGCAAAGATTAAAGTTTTTCAAAACTGCATTTAACTTCAAAACCAAGGTCATGAGTTCAAATATCGTAATACAATCCGAAGGTCTTGTCAAGTAATGCACATGTGAAAAAAAAATATGAAAGTCCCGTCTCTTCTGGAGCAAAAGTTTTGATAAGTAGGTCAAACTAATAGGTCAAAGTCTTGAGTCAAAAATTATATACTATCTCTCTGAATGATGTTGTCATAGGAAATGTACATGTAAAATATGTAAGCCCCATCTTTTCTCATTCAAAAGTTATTATCTATGTAAAAAAAAAAAAATGAAAAAGACGAAGTTATTAAACTTTAAGGTCAAGATCACGTCAAAAATCAGGGTACATTCAGAAAGGTCTTGAAACAGGTCATTCAAATGTCAAATATAATGCCCTATCTTCTCTCATTCAAAAGTTATCAACAATGCTAAAATTTTTAAAAATTAGGTCAAACGTCAAGGTCAAGAGGTTAAAAATCATAGTGCATTTGTCTTACAAGTGATAGGTAATGTACATATTAATCATGATTGCCATACCTTCGCTCCTTCAAAAGTAAGCAGCAATATTATCAATTTTTTTTAAAAAGTAGATCAAACTTCAATGATGATTCAGAAATTATAGCATGTTCGAAAACATCTTGTCACAAGTAATGTACATGTCAAATATGAAAGCCTTATCCCTTTTCCTTCAAAAGTTTTAACCAATGTTAAAATTTTTTAAACGTAGGTCAAACTTCAAGGTCACGGGGTAAAAAAAAATTAGAGTATATAAGGATAGGTTTTGTCACAGGTAATGTATATGTGAAAATTGAAACCCTTTCTCTTCTCATTCAAAAGTTAAGACCAATGTAAAAGTACTGTTAATTTTTTTGAAAAGTAAGTCAAACTTCAAGGTCAAGTAATCAAAAGTCACAGTATATTTGGAAAGGTCTTGTCACAGTAATGTAATATAAAAGCCGTATCTTTTCTCATTCAAAAGTTATGTGCAAGGTTAAAGTTTTTTTGTGACAGAGAGACTGACTGATATCCCCTCGCTTTCGCCAAAAATAAATAAATAAACACACTCAAGATGTCTACATGAATTGAATTTTACTGTAAAAACAACATAAAGCAAGGCAGTTTCTGAGAAAAAAAATATTCAAAATACAATATCTTTCAATGTACATGTAATCTCATATTTTAAAAATTGAAGAACTGGTACACGCACAACTGATTGAGCAATAAAAATAATTTTATAAATCAAATACCAGTAAACACATTAATCCATCATTCTGCATTCAAAAAATTGTTTGTTTTTTTTATATATATAAACAAATAAATTTAGACGACCTTTCTTTTGCAAAGTGAGGCGATTCAAGCGAGGCAAGAATTATAGGCATTTGCCTGAGCCTAAGTACGCCACCCTTGTCCTCAGAACAGCCATGCAGTTATAGATCTACGAGGGAAAATCTAGAATATCATTTTCAGCTCGGCATAAAATGGACAAACAATTTAATTTAAGGCGTCAATGTGAAAAATTGGATAATATTTAATAAAAAAAAAATACCGATTTAAACCCCTTCATGTGTTTCGAACGTACTGTTTTGGTTTCAAACCTGTACATGTATACCTAACACTCGAGAAAGAGAAATGTTCAGAAGAAGTGTTCTTTTTTTGTTTCTTAATGATGCGCTATACACACGTAAATTGTTTGGGACTTTGGGAAACTCGTATCGTACAAAAGTTTACATAATGAATTTACCTAGATTTCATCAACATAAGATGTCTATCACATTTCCCCGGGAAAAATGTTGAAAGACAATATAGTTTTGTGTACAGAAATCACTATTGTTTTCTTAAATTGGGAAATTACATACAAATAATGTATTCAATCGGGCCCAAAGGAACTGGTGTGTGTTGGGGTGTGTGTGTGGGGGAGGGGTTGCATAAAACATTTAATTGTGCCCCTAAAATATAACGCCCCATATAAAAATACTCCCTTTACCTTATTTTATACTTTATTATAATGTTAAGAATCTTTTAATCTATTACTATTCACTATAGACTTACATTTCATCTATCTTACATCTCTCGGCAAATCACTCTAACTGCACAGTGAAACTCTTCAGTGTGGAGTGTTTAGAGCCTCCTCAAGTATTTCAAGCATACAGAAACCCTGGCTGCAGAACTGTAGCTCTTCGTAGAGATAAAGCTTAATCTGTCCGAATTTTCTCAACCAGAGAGCTACAGTTCTGCAGCTAACAGAAACCCATGTAATCGTAACTAACTTTCTCGGCGCTTCATACGGATATTATATCACCAACATGTATTAAAATCTGACTGAAGTGCAAAAAATAAATTATAGAATTATCTATGACTAAATTGATGTAAATTATGATTATACAATATCATGGAAGAAAAAGCTTTCTCAATAAAACTTGAGATTTCCTTAGTAAATAATGCATCAAATATCAACCCAATATGAGCCACATAAAAACTGAAATAACATAACCTTACATATCAGAAAATAGATATGCTTATTTAAAGAAATAATGAACACTCTATCAAAACAATAGGCTATAATGATTCACAATAAGAAATAACCACAGGGTACCTGTTCTGTAACAAAGGTTTTTCCCGTAGTATTATGATACTAGTAACAATATTATTCTATGAGAGTAAACTTTTATTACAGACAAGTGCCCATGGAATTTTTTTAAAAAGTAGAGATAAAGAAAACCAAATCAAATATATTGGTCATAAAAAAATAAAAACAATAAAGTAACCGGCTTTTCAGTAAAATACAAATTACAGATGTATACACATGTACTGATATGAGACTTGTCGATGCCATTTTTCACACACCGATAGAAAAAATTAAGAAACTTCAAGTATTGCTAAATACAAACTACTTGACAACATAATTTACAATTACAACCTGTGTATCATAGTTTATAAAGTTAACAACAGTTATTTACTTTCCAAAACGTCCGTGACAAGGTTGTAGCCTAGAATTTCTCTCCCAAATTATGATTTTCTAAGCATAATAACAAGAATTATTCAAAGATGAAACTTATCACTGCTTCGAGGAAAGAAGGAAGAATTAGTTTAACTCAGATTTTAAAGGTAGATTCACAGCTTTAATTGTTTATACATGTATTGTGATGTCAAATAAAAGCTTATTGTATAGCAATATATGCAAGTACATGTACATGTATTGCCTTTCACACGTTCATTTTATGCTAATTTTTTTTAAATAAAGGACTTCCTTAAGTTAACAAAACTATAAGGCCTAAAGAAGAATGTGAAAAACCGGGGGAAGAGATGACAAAACTGTCAAACAAGCTTACAAAGATCATAATTTTAAAAAAATCTAACTGTACAAAAAATTATATACAGGGCAAGAGGGAAACCATTTTCAAATGGAACATTTATAGGGAACGGACATTGGACAATTTACCAATGCTCGAAGCTCTAGGTTTATCAATGACTTTAAAACTCCCACTGAAAGGGTGTAAAATATCGTAATTTACAAACTGTCACTAAAAATAAATGCATAAAAAAAAACAATGAACACGTCTTATCGTTTTATATTACCTTATCAATAAGCAAAAAACACATGCATTATTTTGTTTTTAACAAATGTGAAAAAATGGGTACAAAACTATAAAGCATAACTTCCATTGTTTTTAATATCTGAATGACACTTTTAAAAACTGCTGAAAATTCAAAAGAATACAGGACCGCGTGAGTCATTTAAAAAAGAACACCATGCAGTTGCAAAAATATGGTAATATAGATTTTTATACTGTTTCTTACATTGTTACATGTGAATAGTTTTGTTGCCATGGAAAGTGAATTCAGGATAAAAGCTTGAAACTAATCAAATATTGATAATTTACAAAAGGAGGAAAATACCAGGGGAGTGGGGAGGGTGTTGGCGGTGTTTACTTTAAATAATAATGAATCAGCAAATATAGGATACTAGTACCCAACAATATAATACCACAAACAAATGCTCAACAATGCCCTAAAATTATAATATCGCATTTCTAATTTAAAGTGGCGTTACATCAATAAGAATAAATATAAAAAAATGTATAAAATGGAAAATAAACTATACGTATATTGGTCCTGCCTAGTCTATTTCACCTCGAAGATTAAAAATACAAAAGGTGCACCAGACATTATATTGGTCTCCATGTAACGTAGATATCGGAGGACATCTTGGGCAACAATCGGTAGAATCGACCTATGTTTTAAAATAGATGTACACGAATTAATTTACGGGGGACAAGTAAGCAATGGCAATATAAGACGCTAGAGTATATCACGGTTATATATTATTGTGCTACAATACCTACTACATTTGTCATCGTTCTTTATTTGAACAGCTCGCTAATGATGACTTGGGTATCGAGGTTTTGGTATGGATCTTTTGTTCTGTTTGGGGGTGGTTGTGGATCTTTTGTTCTGTCGGGGGGTGGTGGTGTAGGACCACATCCTCGTGTTCTTTCTCGGAGATCCAGGCCATGTAACAGTTCCAGCCTACAGACACCAGGTTAACCACCATTATTCTACAACAAAACAGGGGATGTCACTCTTAACAAACCTTAAAAAGAAGATTTTTGCGAACACAATATTCATGTGCTACGCAGATATTGCACGCACAAGCAAATCCTCCCTTTGACAATATCGACCAGTGTGCGAGAATTTCAAGACGAATACACGCTTGCAATAAACTGGCAATGCAGCATGAAATTCGATGTTGACAGAGAACATATTTTATATATATATGTGGCAGATTGTTTTAACTTTTATACTGAAACGCAAAAGAAACGCAACATCCTATTTTAGGGGGAAATATTATATACAGGATATAACTTTGTATCTAAAATGTAAGGACATCTTCAACTTTGTAAATATTGGTAATTTAACGGTTGAATGATTTTCATACCATAACCGGAAGTTAAGTTTGAGTCCACTTAACAGAAATCAAAAATTGTATGTTTAACAAAATATTTGGCAATAATATGGAGTTTCAAGAATTTGTATCTGTTCATCATAAGTAATGAAGCAATGTTACGAAAAATAAATTCTCCTTTCTTTTCCGTAAGCGATGCCAAGGCTTCCTAAAAATAACTTAAGTACGCATTTCCATTGCTCTAGCTGGAAAATCTCAAAATAAAGGGGATGGAGAGTTGCAGATGCAAATATGCAACACATTACGCCTCCGCAGGCTCTTACGTATCATTAGCATGAATGACGGTCCTTGGACCGGAAGTCCAAGGGTTACTACACTGCGCTTGGCTAGAGAAAAATCGACCTCATCATCTGAAAAACAGGCATTTAAAAATGGCAAAGAATATTTCTTTCGCTCAGATCTCGAGGTTGATACACCTACTGCATCATAAAAAATCAAGCTGCAACTGTTGTACATGGCAGTCTTGCACGCTGTAATTGTATGACCGGGGTGGGGGGTGGGGGTGTTTTAACATTCATGTGTTACTTTCTAAAGTTAAAAGATTATAATTTAACATTTTTATCAAATCTCTGATGTTTATAAATCAAGTTTTACCTTACTGTATTCATTTTTGAAAATCATTAGATAAAAAATTCAAATACATGTATTTGTAGAATACCGCTTGTTGCGTTTCTTTTGCGTTTCAGTATATAATGCATTTCAATCTAGAAGATTTGCCAAATAATGAAACAAAGTTGGCATCTTTAAATTATCTCTCCAAATGAACTGCTTAAATCCCCCCCCCCCCAAATGAATTTTTTTCTCACGCTTTTTTTAAAGTCTACATAAGTATTGATAAAGAATTAATGAATTCAATCGTTAAGGTTGACCGCAAGAAAAATGTTGCGGTTAGTTGTTATTAAGAATTTAGTGGCATAAATAACATCATAAGTAGCACAAGATAAGTCAGTAAAAGAATTTTTACATTCAGATTCCTAGGAATTCCTAATGTCATCTAGAAGTTGCACGTTAAATATATTTCAATATTAAAACAACTCGGTAAAACCGGTGGCAGTATATGTATTTTTAAACAAGAGGCCCATAGGCCACATCGCTCACCTGAACACTGGCTAGGAAAAGACAGAAATAAGTTCAGTATTGAAAAGTTTAAATATAAAAGTGGTCCCAACATTTAATTTTCTATTGAGGCCTTGCCCTACCCCCAGGGACATGATTTGAATTTGAATCTACACCACTTGAGGAAGCTTCTGGATTATTATGACTAATCATGGCTTTGCTGTTCCTGAAACGAAATTTTTTATTTATTCCTTTGTTTAACGTTGATCCCTTGTTGTGGCCCATTCCTACCCACAGGGTTCATGCATGACTTGAAAAAATTGAATCTTCACTATCTCATGAGGAGATTTTTTAATAATCCTATATATTCTTATGTAATACTTTGATGGTAAATTGTAGCCCCTCCCAACCACGAGAGTATAATTTGAACAAACATACTTCAGATGCTTCCATATTAATATGACCAATCAAGGCTTTGCTGTTCTTGGGAAGAAGATTATTAAAGATTTTTCCTATGTATTTTGATCACCCATTATGGCCATCCTACCCCCCCCCCCCCCCCGAGTCACGATTTGAACAAATTTGAATCTACATTACCTTAGGATGCTTCCATATTAAAATGACTAATAATGACTTTGCTATTTTTTGGAAGATTTTTCAAGATTTTTTCCCTATATATTCCTATGTAAAACTTTGATTCCCCATTGTGGCCCCACCCTACCCCCGGGGGTCATGATTTGAACAAAATTGAATTTACACTACATGTACCTGAGGATGCTTCCATATCAATATGACTAACATGGCTTTGCTATTCTAGAGAAGATTTTTTTCTATATATTCCTATGTAAAACTTTGAGCCCCCATTGTGGCCCCATCCTCCCTCCGGTAGTTTTTTGTGGTTTCAGTGGTTTTTATGCCCCCCCCCCCCCTAAAAAAAGAAAGATAAAAAATATTTTAAGATTGGGATCTTAAATGCAAAAGTATATTCCCGTTTGCAAGAGTGGTAAATTTACTTGGGGGAAAAACACCACCACCAACATAAATATGGTTGACAAATCTTCTGCGGGGTTAATAATCCAGGATGGTAAGCTCGTAATTCCTTTTGGGTCAAGTTCATACGAAGTTCCCCAAGACAGCAACTATTTCCCGAGGCGAATTTAAAGTTGTGGTAAGACAAAAATACTTACCGCCATATAGACGAAAGAAAATATCCCAAATAAAAAAAAACAGCCCTACCAGTCACTTGACGCAATCCTTTTCTATCAAAAAAAATCTCCCATCCCACCTACCTTTACTTGATTTAATACGTATATAGGATTTATTTTGTGAAAAAAAGTGTAAAGAGCCTGTGACCTGGCCTCGAAACCATAACCTGAGAACAGGCTTGTCAAAATTTAAAATTAATATAACTTTTGAAATAAAACTTTTTCATCATAAATTTGAATTTTACACAAACCTGTAAATTCTTAAGCACGTATCAGCGGTTGATCCAGGATTCTTGAAAAGGGGGGCCCGACCAGTTGCTAATCGGGTTGGGGGCCCAGGGCGACACCCAAAAATTGATTCATTATTAATCTTATGAATAGAATAGAATATTTATCCAACCAATTTGGGCCCACAGTGGAGCATAAAGATGAACAATGTCCGAAATCATAGTCATAAATAACAATAAACAAAACAAACAATTGTATATTGAACAGAGAGTTAGCTGTCAACTTTTAGGATGCATGAAATGTATACAAATAGTATATGTATCATGACTATAATAATGCCTATACGTGTATTGTACTATGTTTTTTTCTCATATTAAAATTTTCATTTAAATGTTGGCATAATAAAACAAACTCAGAATCTTCATTTGACATAATCCATATAAACAGGTCCACATTATTAAGCAGTATTAAATTTGGAAAAGTTTTAAAGATTTTGTTTAAAAACTCTCCTCTGGAATCAACATACAGTGGACATTCTAGCAAAAAATATATTCCATTCCCAGTTAGACTTGAAGTACAGTAACGACAAACTCTTTCACATGCACCTGGGAAGAATTACATTTTTACCACTTTTATTAAGTATCCTTTCATATCTACCCGTCTCTACCCTTAAGCAATGATTACTAATTCTGAGTTTTGTGAGAATTACCCGATTGTCCCGGTTTTTCATATCCAAGTATTTTTCAAAATTGAATGACCTTTTATACTTAAAATATGTACTTAATTTACCAAATTCTTCTAAGTAATTGGTACGGATATCTTTCCAAGAGTTTTAAAAAAAATTGTAATTGCTTTTTAATGTATAATTTAAATTTGTTTTCACTTAATTTTTTGCAAAGGGACAAATTAATATGTAGTTTTTCACTGTAGAATAATATACTGGAGTACCAATCACTGTTGATGGTGTTTGACTTGCACTCATTGGCAGCTGCCTCCAGTAAATTAGATGATGTATGTTCTAGTCTATACCAGTACATGAAAATTTGCTTTAACATACCTATATATAATGGATACCTTCCCAGTTCAGAAAAGATTCCTACGTTTGTACAAGTTTAAGATATCCCCATAATATATTTACAGTGTATGTATATGCATATTTTTGGACACAAAAAGGGGGGGGGGGCTCCTGCCTCCCCCTCTAAATCCGCCAGTGCGTATGTTAATTAAATGTCAAGATATTCAAAAGTAAAATATTTCACTTAAATCTGTTCTCAGTTTATGTCTCGAGGCTTGTGTAAAACCATCTGTAGTGCTAGTAATTAATACCGGTATCTCGTGTCTTTTATGGTGAACATCACATGACCTCTTCGTATTTAACTAAATGCATCATCCCCGAGTTAAATATACCCCTCAATAAATTGAACAAACATCTACAACAATAAGAACACGAATGATGTTCATGGATACTTGTGAACTGGATCTTCAACCCCCCCCCCCCCCCCCAATTCGAGACTATTAAAGAAAGAGAGCGAGAGCCAGGATAGTATTCAGCATATCAATGACCAAGTGGATAACATAATAATAAAGAGAGTGAGAGCCAGGATTGTATTCAGCATATCAATGACCAAGTGGATAACATAATTTTTCTTCCTACAACATAGCCTGCTTCTGGTTAGCTTCATGTTTGAAACATGTAACTATAACATAACTAAGATATCCTTTTAAAAGTTTCTTTTTTTTTCCTTTTTTTTTTTTTATAGTTTTTGAATGGTTCTAAGGCCAAAAAAAAATAAGTCTTGTTTCCTGCTACCCGACCTACCCTATTTTTTTGTACCCAACCCTAAAGTTTTTTTTTATTTTGGAAGAAAAAAAATTGGGAATTTTCGGAATTTCATCGTTCTGTCACCGTAATCGGTTTCCGTGTTAACACAATACAAGCATTTCAAGAAATTCTTGTTTTAAATATTGACTTTAATAAAATACCACTTGAGTTGTGCATAAAAAGATATGAAATTTAATTTTGATAGACAATATTGACCTGTGACATATTTAATTTATCTTGTATTAGTTCGTATCCAAAAAAATGTTGTCGGAAAAAAAAATA